CCCCCCAACCTTGGGTCTCCGCCCTTCTACCTTCCCCTTACTTTTGCTCTGGCTCCAGGAGTCTGTATCCATACTGCCTGCGGCACAGAGCGTGGCTTCAGCCCAGCCCCGTAGCAGCAATGTAGAGCCAGCACTGCTGTACAGGGCCAGGCTGTGCTTCATGGAGGTAAAGCCTGCCAACACCAGAGCAGAGGTTTTGGGGAGGAAGGGCGGGGCATGTTGCAGTGGGGAGACTGAGGGCAGCAGGGGCCCAAGGCTGCAGGAGGTGAGGGGGAGAGGGGCTGGAGCTGCAGCAACTGCATACCCCTACTACTTCATACTCGATTGTAAGACAGGGTGCTCCCTCCCACCATGTTAAATGGGGGTGAAAAACCTTGTCGTTTAATCAAGTAAACACAGTACATGCACATGCATGTGCAGACATTCATATATGTGTATGTACATGCACATGCATCTGCACCAGCACCCCAGAATATTTAACTTTTTTTTAACAAGTGTTGCTGGATTGGAAAAATTCACTCCACCCAGCAAGTCAGTAATCTTAATTTATTTCAGACTGACTTCTGTGTCATCTCATTTCTCAGTCCCTCAGTCAGTCCAGTCTGTATCATTTTTTTTCCTGTTTTGCCCTGTCAAAGTAAACTGAAATATGATAAGCTGATGCTGTGGAAAGAAGTTATTTCTTTATATATAGTGAGCCAACCAAAAACGTTGCAAGATAATGTATTCTTTCCAAAAACTAAAATTTTATCTTTTTTCCAAATGTAGTAAAAGCAAAACTAAACAGCATCTTCCAAACCACAGTGTTAAGTAGCTAGCACAATTGAGTGGTGAGCATGTCTGGGGACTCTGAGTGGTGTTGGGATATCAGGAGTGATGATGCAGGTAATGACATCCTGCATGGTTGCAGGAGACACAGAGATCTCTGTTCTGAAGTTCTACTAATTAAAAAGATTATCAGGATTTTTTCTTTTCTTTTCTTTTTTTTTAAATCTCTTAAGGTTTTTGTCAGTG